TGTGAGTTTGCCGTCTCCTCCAGACTCTGACGATGAAGACGCCGTTGTTGCGTACAATACAATACTTAATCGCTATGGTGTTAGCAAATCAGATGTGCCATTGAAGAGAAAAGGTTCTTCCGGGGACGCTTCTGCTTCTGCTGTAAATGATGACAACCAGGCAGTTGGTAGACCGTCAAAGAGAAGCAAAAAGCGGAGAGTGTCATTTAGAGATCAGGTTGGTGGAGAGCTTATTCAGGTGGTTGGGATTTCTGATGGTGCAGATGTTGAAACTGAACCAGGCCCAGTTGGTGTGAAGGAAGGCAGTCTTGTTGGGAAGTACGAGTCTCTTGTACAGGTCACTGTCATACCAAAAGGAAAGGAGCAAACTTCATCAAAGGACAGTGCCTCCCACAGTGGGGTAACAGATAGGCTACAACAGATGTTTAACAAAGTTAAAAGCACGTCCAGAGGTGGTATGTATGATGACCTTTACGGGGACTCTGTTCCAGCAAAACTGGGGTCATCATGGGCGTATAAATCGGATGGCCAGCCAGAGCAAGTCAAAGTTGTTGATGAAAAGAAGTCTAGCAGGGACGTGGGTGCAAATCCAGCTGATGATAGTGATGATGACTTATTTGGTGACTAGTTATTTTGTCACATTTCCAGTTAGTAGTGAATTGCCTTGATTACAAACACATGGCAGCAGAAATGTTATGTTTGCCTTGGGTATTTTGCTTTGTTCTACATGATTGTATCCTGCTGTGAATCAAGGTAATCTCTTTTTTGCCTAATATTAATGCTAGAGCATGCTTTCTTATGGTTGCGATCATTGGGATTGTACGTACCATCTTGCCCCATTTCTTCATTCTGTTATTGTGTGGTGCCGTTAACTCTTTTACCCTGCCCTGGTTTCTTACGTCTTACTGTTTTAGCTTGCTTGTGCATTATGATGCACTATCTTGTTGGACATCTCTCATATTTTAAATGCTTAACATTTAAATAGTAAAAGCCAGAGTTTGCTTCGTAGCTTGAACCGCTGCTGTATTCATGTTCGTCTGGTTCAAGTATGTACATAATTTTATTGCATATGCTCCCATATTCACATGTCATAAGTGTGGTAAGTCTTGTCTCTAGTTTGTGGCTTAATTATTAGTCATTTATTGATACTCTGGTCCTTTGTTTGGCCTGTTTGCCTCTACTTTAGGTTCCCCTAATATGTAAGGAGTGATTTTTCTTCCTTTTCATTAATATAAAAGTGAAGATAAAATAAGGAAATCACCTCGCTTGGTCCCCTTTTTCTCATAGACTCCCTCCCGTTTAAGCCCTGCTGTCTGGACTCTTTCTGCATGGTAGACTTGGTAGATAACCATCATGATCCTGTTATCCTACTTTTGAATGAAGGCCAGGTCCTTAACTATCCATTTGATAGTATTCCACCATCCAATCCTTGTGGGAAGTATGTTGAAACTGCACAAGGTTGCTTGCTTCGCTCTTATAAAGCCTAACTAGCATGCATCTCCAGCTAGTGACCATTGCTTGGACTTGGTATTTTGACTTAGTTTGGACGTAGGTCTCTCGTCAGCACGAGTCTTTTGGTATCTGTGCCAGGTACACTAGGTACTCTAGCAGTGGATACTGTCTGCTGTTAGTTTGCTGTTACATGGCAGAATTTATTTCCTTAGAGATATCATAAGAGTGGGTTCTGGGGATAGCTTTGTTGTGGTTCTCACGCCCTGGGCCATCTAATTCTAGACCATAACATCTGACACCCAAGGAGTTGAGTTTCTTTGTACCATGATGGACTTGACCAGCGATCGGGTTGCTGCTTGGTGTGGGCAGATTTCCCGAGATTTGCCAAGGAAAAAATGGAGCTGCCAAACATAGCCCTATCTCTTTCAGTTAGTAATTTTAAATTGGAATCAGGTTGGAAGTTCAAATAAATATTTAAAAAATAAGCTACAAAATGCTAGAAAAAGTCATATAGTTTTTTTTTTCTGTTTTTATTAAACGCTTTCAAAGCACTTAAAACGCACATGAAAAATCTAAAACCAGTATTTCAAATATATATTGAGATGGTATAATTAGTACCGAACTATGCATAAGTTCAAGAGTTGGCTATTGAATTGGCATTCATGTTCTTCAATATCCGTATGTGATTAAACTGGAACACATTCGAACTATAATTTATGACGGAGCTAACTGAACCATTAGAGCAAGTTGACGTGCTGGAAAATCCAGTTTTTATCAAAAAGGTGGTCTAAGGTGAACATGCCGTGCAAGTAGATGTACTCCTTGTCCAGTTAGCTGTTAGCTGTTTACAATGTCATAGTTCCAACCTTGTTATCCAACCTCCGCATCAACAAATTACTAACTGAAAGGGTAGATTCACAATATGAAATCAATATTGTAGATGCATCATGAAATAAACTTTCATACCATATAGCTTTAATATTGTACTCCCTCCGTCCGGAAATACTTGTCGTTGAAATAGATGTATCTAGATTACATCCATTTTCATCCCTTTTGATGACAAGTATTTCCGGACGGAGGGAGTAGATGGTAATATCTTTTTTTATAAAGTTGGTCAAACTTTACAAAGTCTGACTTTGACCAGATCTTATACGCAAACTAAAAAGAAACGGAGGGAGTATTGTTTATATATACGGACATGTCTCTGGAGTTATGTAGCACATGCACAGTCTTCCAAGTTCTTTGCTAGTCAACCTGGAATCTTTGATGGACCGTTTATTTTTCTACTGTAAAACTGTGTTTCGTGTAACATTTATATTTTAAAAAAAATATCTCTGGATGCTGTATCTTTTTCTGTACCTCGATTATCCGATTAAGATGATTATCCTAGCTTTTCCGCCACCACCACCAGGCTCCTCCCCGCTGCTCGTTCTCATCGAATCGTAAAAAGTCCAGGACCCATCGAAAATCATAAATGATTAAGGTCTTCTGAATAGCATGCTATTGCAAAAGAGCATAGTAGGCACTTAAAAAACAAAGCTACAAGGACAGTGACCGTGAGGAATGACTGACCTCACAGTTGGCTACTCCACCCATGTCATGTGAGAAGGCAAATAATGAAACCATTGAGAACATATTGCTAGGAATAGGGATTTATGAAATGTTTGCGGAAGGCGAAACTTTATGAAACAACAGAAGTCCGTGACCCAGGGTAACAGTTTGTGTTGTTCCATAGTCACGGCTACGATTAGGTGTGGTGTTTTGTTCAAGGAGGATAATCAAATGTTGATGGGTAAATAGTGGAGAGAAGAGAAAATAATGTAATGGCTCGGGCATCAATTTAACAATACTAAAAACGAGTACGACGCGAGCATGGTGGACTTACAGCAACATGTTCAGTAGTGGAATGAAAAGGTGATGCACCTATAAATAAACAAACGATGAAAACATATTAGTTCAATGTGAACTAGTTAGAAATCTTTGTAAAAATAATAGCAACCGAAATATTCAAAACGGATACAAATATGGTACTTGCATGAAGTCCAAAAGGAACCTAATTTTCCAGAGAATATTTATTACAAAATACTGAATAAAGAGTGAAATGAACAGGTAATTTAAATTTTATATAAAGTATGTAATGGCCTAAACATCAATTCAAACACAATATACATGAAAAATACAAACATAACAAAATATAAAAATCTAGCCGTGCAAATGCGGCCCGCTAGTTATTGTATAATGTTGAGTTGCCACATAGCGACCCAAATAAGGCATAAGCTCCGTTAGACACAAAAAATAGATGACGAGACCTGAATATTTCAGGTTTATGTCAGATTGGCTCGATTGCCTCCGCAGAAAGCTACAATTATTGTGAGTACTTGTGTCTGCTTCTATGATTGAACATTTTGTTGATATGGCTACCATCATTTTCATATTTACTTTGAATATATCTATCTATATGTGGCCTCTAAGTACACGGAATCAACCTTTTTTTGTGAGGAAAGCTTTGGCAAGCACACGTAGTAGTGCTCATATGGTTCGGTTCCTTGTAGTAGAACCAACCCACCAGGGTTGAAGTCCTAAACTTGGCATTGGTGATCGCATATTACTAGATTTATTTCAGGCCTTCCAACAATGTGCATTCAGTGGAAGGAGATGTTTCCGTCGACTACAAAAGGCATCTGTAGCGACTTCTCAAGATAATGTGCCGGCTAAGTCTCTGGGAGGTATTCATAGGGTAGAGTGTGTGTGTGTGCGTATGTGTGTATGTATGAGCGTCTAAATCTGTAATGTGTTCAAAAAAAAGTACAAATAATTTTGAGACGCTAATGTTTACAACTATAACAAAGGTGCACTAGCTAGCTCAACTAGGCATCTAAAGAAAAATTTCAGTCCATATCTTCTAGATGGAAGTAATTATTGCCTTGGAATATATACTGCTAGTAATTAGGAGTACGTTTCAGTTACCATGAACCACTAGTGGTCATCTAGCAACTGTGGCCAATCCTGAATATATGGAACCACATTTAATTCACATACATGAAAAATTGGTAGAACTTAATTCACACAACGTGCATGACCAATCAGTTTAATTGCGTACATATCTTTCCAAATAAGTAATTTTAGTTCACCAATGCATTAAGAGATAATTTAAGTGCGTTATATACTTCTTTTTTATAATAACTTGGCTACAATTGAATGTACACGTTTAAATAAGCATCCATCTTTAGAACATATTAAAAATTAAAATTAATTTGGTAATGTATAGTATAAGCATATCCTGTTAATAAAGATTCATGTGGCTCTTGAGAGAAACGAGTCTTTTAATGTATTTTTTTCCTCGACTGACTATTATGAGCATTCTATGTGTTAATTTCAAGAAATGTTGTGCTTTTATGAAGCACCTCCTTATCCTATCAACGTACATTTAATAGTTTCCTCATATTGGGCCTCTTGGTTGGTCCTCCACTATATATCTATCCACCCCATTGCTTTCAACTCACCAAAACAAAGCAACTCTCCTTTGTTGTTCTATTCCTTTGTTGCAAATGGCTCGCACGAAGGTGGCCCTCCGGTACATCCTTGATAAAAAGTCCCGATGCCGTACTTTAAAGAAACGTCATGAGGGCCTACAGAAAAAGGCGGACGAGTTGGCCATCATGTGCAATGCGAAGGCCTGCGTGCTAGTGTATGGCGAGGGCAAGTCGGTACCAGAGGTGTTCCCGTCCCACTCCGAGGCGGTGGCTATCCTGACTCGGTACAAGAATATGCCGGAGGGAAAGTTTAAGAAGACGGTGAGTCATGAAGGCTTTCTCAGCCAACATTTTAACAAGCTCCAAGCCAAGGGCCACAAGTTCCAAGGAGTCTGCGAAGACAATGAGACCAAAATCCTCCTGCACAAGGCTATGCTTGGAAGCAACCTCTCGAGCCTCGATGGCCTTAACATCGAGGATCTCGCCAATGTTGGTCGAAAGCTGGAGGTGATCCTCCAGAGCATGGGGGAAAGCATCACAAAAATTAGTGGTCAACCACCAGTCTCCGCACCACCGCCAGCTCCATACGTCACCGACTACATGCACATGGAGTCTCTGTCGACTTATCAGGCAACACCACCAGCTCCATACATGGACATGGAGTCTTCGTCGACTTTTCAGGCACCACCACCGACTGACAACATGGGCATGGGGTCTTCGATGATGTATCAGGTGCCATCACCAGCTCCCTATGTCACTGGTTGCATGGACATGGGGCCTCCGGCGATGCTTAAGGCCCCGCCACAGCAACAAGAGGATTCACTTGACATGATGAGGTATGGAGGAGACCTCAACGCCCCGGTCCACAGCGCCTACAATACTAGTGGTTGTAATGACACCAGGATAAGAACTGGCTTGCCTAGCGGTGATGTTAACTCGAAGAAGTCGTTTGAAGTGGGGTTTGGTTGGCAGTTCGGTGGCGCTGATCCTGAAGCGTCTTCTTCAAGTCTTTTCCCCCCAATGTAAGCTAGGAGAGGATCTCTACATGTAATGCCTAAAATAATAAGATACATTCAGTCTTGGTTGTGCTCTTTGAGCTAAAGCATATTTCATTTAGTCATTGGAATTGTTATTATGGATCTCTTCAATGGTCTATTTGTTTGATCTTTGCAATTTAACTGGTTCTAACTTGTATGTTGCACCTACTTTTTGTGTAAACATGCATCTTTTGTCAGACATACCTTTTCAATGATAGTTTTTGTTGACACTTAGCATTGCATCAAGTGATACAACCATGAAGGGTTCACTCAACACATGAAACTTTTTGACACAAAAATAAGAAAAACTTCAAGAAATGGAAGACCAATCCGATGACTACACCTTCATCCATGTCAGGTAAAGAACTCCTTAAAAACCACCTCTTCTATTGTGACATGCTTATGCGGAACTGTAAGAAAAAACACCTGGGTATTGGACGCTAAGTGGGGGTATTTCCCAACCGTGAGTCCTTCCAAAACCGAACATGTGAGTTGTCCTTGATAGGGATAGTTTCAGACCAGGAGAAGTCGTGTTCGCTTCACCAAAACAACCAAAAAGTGGGAGTTCTCAGGTTTCCTCTAGACCTGGGATAGAACCTTAGAGCCCATATATTTAGTACCAAATATATCATGCCATACCTCATCCTTGGTAAGAAGTTTGAATAACTATTTATCAACAATACATATTTGGTGATTTCACTCCATGCCAATCTCGAAGGCTTAATACCTTTGAAATAAATTAATGAGCTCATTCGAAATGTTCCAAGCTATTATAACAAATATTTTGATTTAACAAACACCACTTTAGCATAGTACCGAAGCAATCCGCAAGGCATTCGGAGACTACTAGAAAGGCGTGTCGAACAAGAAATGCTAGGGGGCAATGGAATATGAGGTTCTCAACGGTCTCTTCAACAACATTACATTGGATGTAAGCATAATTGTTAATGACATTAAATTGTCCCCGCTTTTGCATATTTAGCTTATTAAACCTATCATAAAGAAGCAACCAGAGAAATACATTCAACTCCATTTTGACACTTCAAAGTAATACATCATGTAAATAATCATATTAGAAAGCAGAGTTGGTAAGGAGATGTCATCCTCCATAGGGAAAATGCACCCCTTTCCAACTATCGAGACACTTTATATTCATTCCTCCACGTGTTTCCACTCCTAGTGGTGTAGCACAAGTAGACACATTTCTATTATATGCAACAAATTATGTTTCTACTTGACCTTTAAAACTTTACATTTGACAATGTCTCTTCTTATGGTACATAAGTAAATGGATGTGCAAAAGAGGTTGGAAGAGATGTAGGATTACTGCAATGTTCAAGGCCTAGCATGATGAGAATAGGATGGCAAATGGTGTGAGACAATACCTATGATAATGGGATAAGTGCAATGTGTACAAAAGGCATACAATTTATGAGTTATGGCTAGGGCTGTAACAAGTTGACAAGGCGAATATACTTTGAGTATACCAAGTGGTTCTATGTTTCCAGTCTACCTAAATGATAAGAAGGCATGTGTTTTGGGTGGTATTCAATTCTAAACATGTAATCCTTCCATGTTTTACAGACCACAAATGGGTATGCCTTAAACATGGAGAAGGTAAGTGCGGTGGTTCACATGTTTTTTTTTTTGGGGGGGGGGGGTCATGACAAGAATGAGAGTGGATAAATGAAGTTATAGTGTCATTTAGAATGATTTCAAAAATCAAGTTAAGTGAAAATTTAAGGTCATACGTTAAGGCTAGATTTATGTGATAGAAACGAAATAAAAGTATGATTGGTTTGATTCTGATTCACTACTAGAGGCAAGGGAATAGAAAAAATCAAGCATTGGAATCGCACTCCTGTGTGTCGAGTGTCTAGAATGATGCATCGATAATGGGGTACATGTTACTTATAACTGACCTTTATTTAATCTTTAACATCCTACATTCCATTTCTGAATATCGAAACGGCAAGAACATGATGAGGGGAGCGCGGGGCGTGTTTCACACATATGTTGACGACCATTACAATATTGAGAGGAACTACTACGAAGATCTAGGTGACTAATAAATAAATGATATGCAACACAACTTGTTGGTTGTAAAGGGACAAGTCTATACATCGAGTTAATCTGACAATCCCTTCCTCTCGTGTATCCCTCTTTGGGATTTTCCTATACCAACCCAGTTAAGCTCTTGAAAAGAATAGAGGATACGGCAACGGATCATAGCACCCGTAATATGATTGAATATGCTCTATTTTGTTGTTGCTCCATGAAGTATTACATACTTGTCATAAGTATATCTTCTTTCATTTTCTTCAATCCACATTGCAGCTACCTCTGAATTGATTAGCGTGTTGTATGCTGGTCCAATCTTTGGTCAACGGTTCAAGATGAGTCTCTAGTCCTCAAGGTTTTGGGCTTGTCCCAAACTCCTAAACTGTTGAGAGTACGGGTTACCCTGTAGGATGTCTGTCATTATTCCAATCACATGCTTGTCTTGCTCATACATTTTCTCACTACAACGGCGGTACCGATGATCTAGGCTTGGATCATCGTCGTACAAGTATAGCTCCAGATGCTTTGCATATGAGTGACTATTACCAAATGAGTGTATATTCTGATATATCTGACCATGTGCTCGAAAGGCGTAAACACCAGTTGTTGTTCGCATGTTACTTGTGTCTATGTCAAGGTGGAAGACTAAATTAGTAAATGAGAAGTGGCCGTTGAAAAATCTTATGTTTTGATGAAAATGTGTTGCATCGGAGTCGTTGCTTGTACAAAGTCTTACGAGTTTGGGTGGTGTTTCTGGATTGGCTAGTCTTATATGTCCTTTTCTGCAGCATAACCCCTTAGTTTCATAGTTGAATTTTGTTGCATGCGCAAAATCTGCAATTTTTCTTCTGCGTGTGTGTGGGGGTGTCTGTGATGGGCTCACGGGCTGTGTCGGCTGGGCTGCTCCGATGGGCGTGGGCTTTGGGCAGCCCGGCCCACACAGCCCGTTGGCCCACCACAGACACCCACGGCACGCACACGCAGTAGTCGTCTCCCATGGACGAGACTTGCCTGCTCCCCCGTGTGTGCCCATCTGTGTTTCCGCGTACGTGGCTTAATTTGATTGGAACAAAATAAAGCCCGGTCCCACCCCTTTAAAATCAAGGGGGAGATGATTAAATTAGTAAAAAAAAGGAAAAAACACAGCCATAGGATGAAATGAGAGCACAGATGGGAGCGTGGGGAGGGAGCATGCAAGCCGGATCCGTCTCCCATTACCACCTCTCCTCCTCCTGGTCCACACGTCCGTCCCCCATAATATCTCTCTCTCTCCCTCTCCCATCCCCTCTCTCTCCTCCACTCGCCGTCGCCGCCGCCGCCCAATCTCCGGCGAGATCCCCTCCCCCGCCGGCAGCCATGGCCTCCACCTTCAGCGGCGACGAGACCGCCCCCTTCTTCGGCTTCCTCGGCGCCGCCGCCGCCCTCGTCTTCTCCTGTAAGCCCCCCAGATCTCACCTCCCCCTCCTCCAGATCGGCGCCCGACCGACCGATCCGCGCGGGTCTAACCTCGCTGGCCATGGTGTGATGCGCATGGTGTGATGTGCAGGCATGGGGGCGGCGTACGGGACGGCCAAGAGCGGGGTGGGGGTGGCGTCGATGGGGGTGATGCGGCCGGAGCTGGTGATGAAGTCCATCGTGCCCGTCGTCATGGCCGGGGTGCTCGGGATCTACGGCCTCATCATCGCCGTCATCATCTCCACCGGGATCAACCCCAAGGCCAAGCCCTACTTCCTCTTCGACGGCTACGCCCACCTCTCCTCCGGCCTCGCCTGCGGCCTCGCCGGCCTCGCCGCCGGCATGGCCATCGGCATCGTCGGCGACGCCGGAGTCAGGTATACACACATACACACACCCCTCCTGCTGCTGCTGAAGAGATTTGTCAACTGTGATGTGTGGGGAGTATGCAAATGCTGCTAGCTCCTAATGTATACAAATCCCTTCATGGTTGCGCGGCCAGTGAACACAAGTGTGTGATTGCTGTGCAGATTGTGGTGGATGCGAGTGTAAATCTTGTGCTTGTTGGTAATCAGAATCTAGTCTAAGTTCTGATGAGGGCGAGCTACAGCAGGGAATTGTGTTGCTCCTACTTCATTTGGGATTTGGGTCGGGGGTTGGCAACTTTTGACAGACTACAACCAGACATTTGTAGAGTAATAGTCGATGAAAATAGGTTAAAAAATATGTTGTCACCTGGGACATGCTTGACTATGTAGAATTTACAGATGAACTTGTGTGTCTCACTTGTTAAACCACACACATTGGCTTACTTCTCTGAACCAGTTTGATGTAATGTTATGCTGGTATGGAGAGAACACCAAGGGGCGGCGAGTCATGGTAGGATACTGTACACTGCTACAATTATGGGTTGCAGATAGCAGTTTGCTGCTGTTCGTGCAGGATGGGAATAGCTTTTGTGAGTTAGTGAACAAAATGTGAATCTGATCCAACATGCTAGTGGTGGACTTATTTATGCTTTTGGAAATAGCTTTGTCTTTTAGCTGTGATATATGAGATTTCATAATTCATAGTCCATCATCTAGTTCCACTTCATAACTTTTGGCGGGTCCTTTACATTGTCTGAAAAATTATGGCTTCTTCTGTTTTGAGCCATATCCATGTTAGTACTTCATTGGTTTGCACATGTTTGTGGAAGTAATTTAACTAGATTCTACATTGGCCTGCTATAATAACTTAAGCTTGGATTTGCATGGTGATTTTTCTATCTACTTCTTTTTTCTGCGTCTGGGTTTATTTGTACACCAAATATATTCAAATAGAGGTGTAATCATTGGTTATTGTTTCCTTTGGTTGCCAGCATGTATTGGTTTTGTACTTCTGTTATTAGCTTTCAACCTTCTGCTCCATCTCTCTTAAGCGTATAACTCTGGTAATAGCTAGGCATAGTATCATCAAGATCCAATTGATCTCTGGTATGTATATCTGGCCATATAATGTAGAGGATGTATGCCCATTCTTCACCCTTGGGAAGCATTTTAAGGAACAGCACTAATAGCTCAGGATTGAGATTGTGCCACTAATAACAGGTTGGCTCCAAACAATGCCTGCGAGTATTGCAATAACCAGAATATGCTGCCATCTGCTTTTTCTAGAAATATACTCCCTCCGTCCCAAAATTCTTGTCTTAGATTTGTCTACATATGGATGTATCTATTCACATTTTAGTGTTAGATACATCTGTATCTAGATAAATCTAAGACAAGAATTTTGGGACGGAGGAAGTATTACAGTATTGCATAAGTAAATATTAGAAGGGGGGAAACATGGTGGTAAATCGATTTTTATATAGATAACCACCTTTTGTTTGCAAGCTCTTGAACTAATGATTTGATTCTGTCCTTTTACCTTCTCTGCAGGGCCAACGCGCAGCAGCCCAAGCTGTTCGTCGGCATGATCCTCATCCTCATCTTTGCCGAAGCGCTTGCCCTGTACGGCCTCATCGTCGGCATCATCCTGTCCTCGCGTGCCGGCCAATCCCGCGCCGACTAGAAACAAAGCGCTTGCAAGCAAGGGGCATACGGTCCATCATTGTAATTCTGTTTGAAAGGGTTTATTTCTTCCTAGAGACTTGTTTGGCATTACGCTATGGTTCTACTTCTGTGTTCATGCTCCTCGACAGATCAAGGAACATAATGTGGTTTGGGATCATAGGGATTTCCACGCCCGCCATCTGTAATTTTATTCTATGTTCGACAACGCAAAGCTACCTGTATCTACTCGTCGTACCTAGCACCTGTTGTATTTATTGTTTGGAGTAATAATCGGCGCTGAGCCTCTTGGGACGCGATGAATGAATAAGCAAAGCTAGACCTAGTTCCACTTTTGTGTGCAACTTCTGTGTCTTGATTCATTTTGTTCTATTTGTGGAGTGAATGTTGTGTTTGTTATGTTTAGTGTATATTTTGTAATGCCAACTACTACCTCTGTCCTGGTTAATGAGGTTTGGGGCAAACTTTGACCTTTGATTTAAACATTAAAAATAAGTTATATATTGTAAAAATAGTATCATTGCAAACCTCTTTTAAATATGAATCCAACAATATAAGTTTTGTGACATACAACTTATAATTTGTTAGCTGAATCTATGGTCAAAGTTGGGCACAGAATACAAAGGGGGGCAATAAACCCGGACGAAGGTAGTACTAGATGTATCAAGCACACCGTTTGATAGTTTGTTTATGAAAATAAAATTGAAGATTTTGAAATTTATGGTTTTGTGAAAATTTCTCATTGTGTTATGTGATATGTGTTTTTACATGATATTTTATAATTGTGTTGTTTTATAAGTTGAATCTGCAAAATTGCATGATATTTTTTCCTTTTTTAGCTTTGAGCATCTCTGCCAAAGATTCTAAAACAGGCCCCATATAGCTATACAACTTATTGAGATTGGAGAAGAAAAGTACCCTAGAATGAACCTTAAATTCTACGGGAGAAGAAGTAATGTCCTTTCCATGGTTGATGCATGTGAAAAAAAAGATTCACCTCGGTGTTATCTTCCCCGCACGGTCGTCGACGCCTCCACCCTCTGGCTGATCCTCCTCCCGTCACCCCTCACACCATGTCACCCTCCTCCCCACTCGCACATTCTCCCCCAACCTGGCGCATCCGCATAGCCTCAACGTGTTGCCCCGCGGGCCATGTAGCTCAGGTGTTTGAAAGAGATTGGCTTGGATGGTGTCAGCTGCTCTTCTCGAGGAGGCGGGTGCTTGAGGGAAGAGAAGGTGATCTAGACGAAGGTAGAGTGAAGGTTCAGATGTTACAGTCTCTCACTCGCATGAGACCGTTGGGCAGGTTTCTGTGCGTGACAAGGTCAATGATATTCTCTTTCGGATAGAGATTCACAGTTTGCTCAAACGTTTGGAGGCGGCTAGCCCTGGATCGGGCAATGCGATTGAGGAGGAGGCTCCCAGGAGCAAGAGAATGAAGAGTGGCGCCACAAGAAAGGCGTCTGCAGCTGCTTGATGGATGGTCACCGGTCTCTTAGGTCCTTTTGGTCTGATTGGTCATCATGAATTTGGTGGTGCATGTGGTCTTCGACCGTGTTACTCTTGTTGAGGGTTTCTTTGCGATGTAGCAGTGTGAGGGTTAGTGGCCGTTATGTGTTGGGTATGTTTGCAGGGTTGATCACGTGTTTACGGGGTTGCATGCTCCGTAAGTAGTCCACATGTGGTTGGTTTGTATCGGTTTTCGCCCGGTTTTCTGTTGATTACCTGGGCAATTATCTTCTACTTAATTAATCGATGAGCCAAATCTTTTGCCTCCGTTTCAAAAAAAAAAAACTGACTTATATTTATTTACAGAGGGAGTAGTTCTTTTATAGATCGGCAGAAAAATAATATATATACCACTAAGCATGACAGAAGCCTGAAGGTTGCGTGCCTCTTATCTTTCGGGCAACTATAGGCTTAGAGGCAGCCCTTTAGCGCCGGTGCCATAGGCGGCAAATCAGTACACCGTGTGTGCTTCAAAAGGGAAATTGACTCGTCCCTTCTCCGTGCTCGAATGCACATTTTACATTGCACCCTCCTCCGCCTCGAAAAATGTAAGGCGCATTTTATCGGAACAGATCGAGATATCAACTTTGACAAAACAATTGCACACAATTAACAATTGGTATATCAAATGAAAATACTTGTAATTTTCTTAACCACAATGAAAATACTTGTAATTTTCTTAATAGGATGGTGAGGAAAAACCTGTCAATAAAATTATTCTCGGATACAAATCGGAGCCTGGGAGCGGCCTGCCTGCCCAGAGAGAGAGAGAGAGAACCGAAGAACCCTAGAGAGAGAGAGAGAGAGAGAAGGGGAGGGGGGAGAGCTCGCTCGACGGCGCCGGCGGCCGCGTCGCGGAGCGCGGAGGGAGGGAGAGGGAGAGGGGAGAGCTCGCAGCCCCGGCGGCATGGAGTACGCGGCGGCGGGCGCCGGGGGGTACTACTACTACCCGCCCGCGCAGCAGCCGCCGCCGCCGCCGCCGCAGACGCTCCGCCGCCGCCCGCGCCCGGCCGCCCGCTGGGTCAAGCACTGGTACGCCCCGCGCCCCCACCTCCCTGAGATTAAGATTGCCGCCGCGCCGGAGTGACTGACTGACTGGCCGGCTGGCCCCGTCGCCGTCGCCGTTGCAGGATCCCGCAGGATCTCGCCTCCCCCGGCTCCAAGTGCGCCCTCTTCAAGTGGGTCAGAGGTACCGCGCGCCGGCGCCCTCCCCGAATCCTCCCTGAATCGATCGATGCATTTGTCGTTCATCTTGTCACGAATCATACGGCAGGTTTCATCCTGCCCTCTGTAGTCTGAGCAGATTGCGCGATCTGATTTGCCTGCAGCGACTGATGCGGATTCTTCAGCGTACCTTATCCTGAACCGTAGGGCAAATTTTTACCTTACCCTCTGTAGTTTGAGCAGATTGAACTGTATGCTAGAGTCGAACGGATCAGCATCGGCGATGGATTTATTGTTCATGCTATCACGAATCATACAGCAAATTTTTAACCTATCCTCTGTAGTTTGCGCAGATTGTGCGATTGCCTGCGTTTAGTTTACATTATCCTGAATCGTGGAGCAAATCTTATCTTATCCTCCGTAGTTGGTCGTTCTCACCCACTAGTTTGAGCAGACTGTGCGTGCGATTGCCTGTGACGACTAATTGGTGATTTGGCTTCTGCGTGACCCGTGTGCAGAGGACGTGTACAAGAATCTGAAGGAGAACGGCGGCGCGGGGCAGGAGCCGGAGGCGCAGCCGCGCAAGGTCGAGCCGGCCACGGAGATCCTCTTCCTCTGCAGCTACGACAACTGCGGCAAGACCTTTGTTGACGTGGCTGCCTTGAGGAAGCATGCCCACGTGCACGGCGAGAGGCAGTATGTTTGCCAGGAGCCCGGCTGTGGGAAGGTACCTCCAAAATTACCTTACACATTTACAATGTTTATGCTCGTGTTGATGAACTTATCTGTTTGCTACCGTTGACGGACTTCTCTGTGATTTCAGGCTCATACGAAACAGTTTTAACCTCTTTTATCTTTCTTATTATCCACAAGGACCTTTCTCTGTTCTGTATAGTTATTATTGATGGATTTGAGGCCCAATAGATTTGTTTCACTGACTCTATACATATAAGACGTTTGGCTATGTCCTATATTTATAAATCATGAACGAAACAACTGTTGTATGTGTGCTCACTCTTGATGGGATAATGTAATTCCTAACTACTTGACTCTTCTTTTTGTACAGAAATGATGAATCCTTTTTCTGTTTGTTTTGCAGAAATTTGTAGACAGCTCAAAGTTGAAGAGGCACCACCTTACTCACACAGGACAAAAGGATTTTGTTTGCCCACATCCAGGCTGTGGTAAGGTAGGGATTCACACAGTTTCTATTTCACGGCAGCATTCTTTGCTTCTAATTCTCACCATACAACTTACATTACTAGTTACAGTGTTCTTCTATCTGGTGATGCAAATCTAAGTTGAGTGGCACCAATTCTATCGAACTGAAGATGTTCCGCTGATTTGATTAGATGAACTTAATGAAACTTCCCCCTGATCCCTCAAGCTAGTTTTATGCCTAATTGCATATTTACAAGTGTCTGGTTGTTTTATGCTTTTGTATTGGTTAATCATTTCACTACGGTATATTTTACCTGTTCTAACAAACAAATCCTCTGAATTGCAGGCCTTCTCATTGGATTTTAACTTGCGTGCACACCTCAAAACACATGCTGTGGAAAATTATCATATATGCCCCTTCCCAGCATGTGGCAAAAGATTTACAAGCGACTTCAAATTAAAATGCCATATTAAGACACATGAAAAGGTATGTTGCTATACCACACCGACTTCCATGTTCATCTTTTGGATTATCTTTTCCTTCTATTCATGCTAGTTCCATGAAGTTCTGTGGTACATGTTCAGTTTTATCCCTGACATACTTGATCCACTGAGGAACTTTGTTAACTGTTTTCCGATTGGAACTATGGATGACGCAAATACATTAAGTTGGAGTGTGATCTAGTTTATCAGATTAGTGTCCTACTATCCGAACTACATAAATCATTTATCAAAATGCCCATGGTGCCACACTTGCATGACGCGGTTTGCAGTTGTGTATATGAATCTTGTCAGTCTTATGTTTTACTTACTGTGTCTTTTGTGTCCATGATGCAGACTGGATCTCCTATTGCAGTGCAGCATACACCACCAGCAGAAAAACCACAAAGCACCATAAAGCCTTCCATACAAGCAACCCCAAAGCCGTCTGCGCCCACACCACCAAGCTTTTCCAGTGAGCGCCCTTATGTCTGCCCCTACGAAGGCTGTGGGAAAGCCTACATCCATGGTTACAAACTCAACCTCCATCTCAAGACTCAGCACCCTGACCACAATCAAGAAAACAACGGTAGGTCCGCTACACCTGCAGCGGAGTATACCTATGCTGCCGGCGGTGACATCGCGCCAAACCCGAAAAGGAGCAAGACAAACCAAGGGCACAGGGCCCCTCCATCTAACGCCTACAATGTCAAGGTTTCCAGCAGGATGGGTGTTGACACCAGTGGTGCAAAGAACCAGTGGCCAGGCAAGGGTATGTATGACGATGACAGTGAGGAGACCGAGGAAGATCCTGGTGGCAACAACGTAGAAGATGGCTGGAGGTACGGTAACCAGAACGCCGATGATGAGGAAACAGAAGAAGATGAAGACTAGCTGGACATTCGCCTTTTTCCTGTTTACTGACATTCTGCTGGAGTGTGTGCCCTAGGTTGTTTAGATGTGGTTGTCTGCTTCCTTTTTTAGTAAGTTTGGTGTATGCTGAAAACTAGCAACGAATGGAACTAAGCGGGCGTTATAATTATGGTAGAATTAGATTGCGCGGGTGTGAACAGACACTTACTGATGTTGTTTGGTCATTTTGTTGAGATGGTCCATTTATGTAATATATCTGCACTCCACCTTGTGGTAGTTAATCATTTCTGGATGGTGATGAAGTAGCTATAGATATTTCCTTCTTTTCTGCTTATTCAAGCGGTGATTTATGCCGACCGCCTGCGCCAAGGAACTCAACATGGAAAGGTATCATGTTGTGGCACACATGGTGAATTTTGTTCTGTAGAAATTTGAAGATGCGTCATCTTATTCTCACAGGACAATGGACAAAGGATTATATCTGCTCACAGCCAGGCTGTCGTAAGGTATGGCTTCACAAAGTTTGTATTGCATTTTTTTTAGTTCTCAAAATACAGCTCATGTTACAGTGTTCTTCTGTCTAATGGTGCAGAACTAAGTAGTGGGATGCTAATTCTATCTAACTCAACATGTTTCGTGGATTTGATTAAATGAAATTAATGAAACTTCATCTGATACTTTGGGCTAGTTTTTGTTTGTAAATCGAGTTCAATTGCTATCCTGGACTATTGTTAATTGTAGAACTTCGTATGATGTAACATCTTTCCTGTTTACATACCTGCAAGTGACTGGTTTGAAAACAAAAGTAGTGTAAATGATCATGGATTCTTATTAGTGAATCCTTCCATTTTGGTACATGTTGCATCACAATACCTCTGAATTTCAGGCCTTCTCTTTGGATTTAACTTACGTGCACCCTTCAAATCACGTGATGTAGAAAATAATCATGTGCGCCCATTCCCTACTTTGAGCCAGATTTACAAGTGATTTCAAATTAAAATGACATATCAAGGCACATGGAAAGGCATCTTGCCATAGCGCATTGACTTCCATGTTCATCTTTTATGCTTTCGTTTCCTTCATCTTAGAAATATATTTAAATAGGTTCCACAGTCAAGCTTTCGCAGTGCCAAACTGCCCCGTAGGCCCTAATGCTCATTTTTGTACATGCATTATAAGTTGTGCTCATACTGTTATTCTTCTCTACAAGTTGTCCTAAGAAACCTTGTACATCTGGTAAAAATATTACCCTTCAGGGCCCATGGTGATGCGGCCAACGCTAGTGGTTATACCTTCATGCTGGAGTTGAGTGGTGGTCTGATTCGGTTGTTGGTCACGATCTGATACAACAGGTATGCAAAGGAATTTGGAATGCTGAAGAGTTTATAATTAGAAAGTAGTAATTTCAACGCACTTTGATCTCTGACTATTCAAGCCATCGTTTGATATGTCATACGTATGTGCATGGAAGCCATGAGGCAACTGTGATGTGTACGTTAGGTTTGCTGTTTTCTGTTTCAAGAAATTAGCTATGGTTCCCGCAGAAAGGTTGAATTGCCTATCTGCTAGCAAGTGATGTTTAGGACCAAATTAGCAATGCTGGCAAGAGTGACTGATAACAATTGTAGGCTGGCATTTGTTTGTCCATTTGATGATGTGGCTGTTGGTTTTCTTTACATTGCTTCTTTGCAAACTTCTGAGATTTGATGGCACGCCTTTTCTCTATGTGCTTCTGCTTGCTTTAAAAAGGTGTCATATGATTTAGTTCCTCTGCTTTTGGCAAGATGGTCTGTTATGCTTTAGGGATATTCTGCATTGCAGACATGCGAGCTGTTGCTACTACAGATTATAACACAGTTAGCTGCATAAGTGTTCATTAGCTATCCGCAGTTACAGAGCGTTCAATCAGATGACTGCTTCATATCTTTTTTTTTTCTGAATATAGCAGTTTTTTTTATCCCAATGAGGTAAATGAAGTGCACAACAGAACCAACCATTTAACACTGCTCCGGTATTTACTACCAGTTGAAGGTTGTGTTTAAACTTAGATCCTTGGAAGAAAATAGAAGGCAAATGAAAAATCAAGCTTCTGGCCAAATTGGTGGAAGAAGGAAAATAAATATGAGCAGCCACAAGACAATGAGATACTGTTCTTCTTTTTGGCAATTCACTGTGCACCATCTCCAACTGAAGCAAAGACTCTAGACTATGAAAGTAAAGCATCTCATCGCCTCCAATCGCAAGCAAAGCGAAGGAAAGCAAAGGGAAGCCAGCAGAGACCTGCCATGCCCTGCGGGCTGCGGGTTTGGGATCAATTCCATTATGTTGCTGCAATCTACAGGTGTTCCCTCACGCACACGGCCCTATTTATACCGACTTGAAATATGAGTACTATAAACAAATCACATATGCATACTGATCATATCACCCTCTGGTATTTTTCTAATCAATCCATAGTTTTTGAGTGTTCCTCTGTCTTGCCAACATGAGGATGCTGGGGGATCATCTCCAGCACAGCTACCCTCCCCAAAGCTCAACACAGCAGGTACACAAGTCAAAGATAAACAAAACTATTGCATAAATTAGGTACTATTTTTATTATTACATTGAACCGTTATTTTGTGCCTTGCGGCAGCTGAATGCTTGCTGCTGTTTGGATGAAGCTTTACTCTTCGCATGTACTGAGCCGCTGTTCTGTTATTTTGGTAATGCAACCTGGGGCTATGGGGCTATATGGATTAAAAAAATAACGGGTGCATTTCTTAAATTATATGCATGTTCATCTGGTATTATTACGTATCTATATAGAGGCTTGGGGATCAGAGCTCTTTATCTACAACTAGTAGTGTGATGTGCATTTGTGCGACTAGAGTTTCTATGTATTGTTGCGTCTGTCCTGAATTAGTTGACTCAGATTTGTCTAGATACAGATGTATCTAAAACGTGTCCAGATACATCCATATCTAGACAAATCTTAGTCAACTAATTTGGAACGGAGGTTGTACAATTTTGACCACTAATTTACATGAGAATATACCTGACACAATACATAAATCACAGCGCTAGGAATCAAAATGGTGAAGAATATTGCCTATTTTTGTATATTAATGTTCGATAGCTATTGGCGATCATGTTCTTCTCAACATATATTTTTGTTCATGCCATAGGTAACCACATATTGTTCTTGTGTATGTGGTTTATTTAACGTGCTCTTATGTGTCGTCAGAAGCCAGGCAAGGAGGTGTTGCTGATTGGACAGACATGCCCTGCAGTTGATTCAGCCTCTTCATTTCGTCTCCATGTCCAAGCCAAGAAACACCCTAGACTATCAGAATCTGTTCTTTTCTTGTCAGTTGACTAGAAGAATCTTGCATTGTCTCAACCTTCAAGCAAAGCAAAGACTCTAGACTGTAGAATCTTGCATCGTCTCCAACTGCAAGCAAGGGGAAGCAAAGCAAACAGCAGGCTTTAGGATCAATTCCATTATTTTGCTGCAATCCTACAGATTGTTGTGCCCTCATATATATGGCCCTATCTATACTGATTTGAAATATGAGTACTATAAACAAATCAGACACGCACAGTAATTTATCATATCCATATCTACTATATTTGTCTAATCAATCCATTCTCCTCACTCACAAGGATGCGAAGGGATCATCATGTTCCTCTGTTCTAGTCTATCTGCAGCACTTTTCCCCTCCCGAAGCCCAACGCAGCAGGTACGTGACTCAAAGTATAGACTAAAGTATTGTACAAATTTGGTGATTTTTAAATTAGATTGAACCACTATTTGGTTCCTGGCAGCTAACGCGGCGTGTTGTTACTTGTTATTCTTTGGATATTTTTCTTCTTTCTGCTTTACCTTTTGCATGTACTGAACCACCCTTTCATTATTTTGGTAGGGAAACCTGGGGCTTCATATGAAAAAAGAACTACTTGCATTTCTCAAGCTATATGCACATGTTTTTCTGGTATTTGCACATGTTTCTGGTATTTTTTGTAAATAATGTATCTGTAGACTCCAGGGGTTCTGAATTTTTTTGCCGAGACAGCATCTCCATTCAGGTTCTGAAATTTATCCTCTTCAATTTGTTTTCAACTCCAAGAAAAGTGAAGAGCCTGGAGTATGAGAACCTGTTATTTTATCCGGCAATTGACAAGAAGAATGTTGCATTGTCTCAAACTGCAAGCAAAAGAAAGACACAAACACTCTAGAGTATAAGCATCTTGCATCTTCTCCAACTGCAAGCAAAGAAAAGCTAGCAGAGACCTTGCACACCCTACTGGCTTTGGGATCAATTCCATTAGTTTAATGCAATCCTCTAGGTGTGCCCTCATATATATGGCCCTGTTCTAAGTGTTCCTCTATTTGAGCAACATGAGAATGTTGAAGGATCATCAACACTCTGTCTATGTCCAGTATGGCTACCCTCCTGGAGTTCAACACAACAGGTACATAATTCGAAGTATAGACAAAACTAGTGTAATAATTAGGTTATGTGCATTTTTTTAAACTATATTGAACCCCTCTCTGGTGTCTGGGTGCTGCTGAATGTGGTCTGTGTGCTACTTCTTGGATTTTCTTTTCTTTCTGCTTTACTCTTTGCATGTACTGGATCTCCCTTTCCAATATTCCGGTAATGAAACGGGGCCACGGGGCTTCGGAAACTAGGTGCGTTTCATACGTGCGCATATGGTATTTTCAGTAAATGACGTATCTGTAGAGTCTGGGGGAGTTGTTTATCTTCAATTATATAGCATGAAATATGAATAAACCCAAGCGCTAATTTGTGCGCAAGAACTGAAACATCACAGAAAAGCTGGACGATTGCAAAATAATTGATCACTAAATGGTCGGTCTCAAAAATTAAATATAGTGTACCAACATAATTTATTTTTGTTAAAGATGATTCTTTGGAGCAAGTTGAAGTATTTTAGCTTCTTGGCAGACTGACAGTAGCGAGCATTCAGCAGCTCTGGAACGAGTGGGAGATCCAGTGCTTGGTGCTTGTGAGCTTCTCCCTGCAAGTGTTCCTACTCTTTTTCGCGGGGTTCCGGAAGCGCTACTGCTCCCGCGTGCTCAGCGTGCTGCTGTGGCTTGCCTACCTGTCGGCGGACACCATGGCACTCTTCGTCCTCGGGCACCTCACATGTGTCGTGCGTGATGACCCACGGCACCAGATGGTGCTCTTCTGGGCACCGTTCATGTTGCTCCACCTAGGAGGGCAGGAGACCATCACAGCCTTCTCCATGGAGGATTGTGCACTGTGGAAGAGAGCACCTGCTGAACCTCACCACCCAGGTGGCACTGGCCATCTACGTCGTGGGCAAGCAATGGCAAGGGGACAAGCAGCTTGTGGCTCCCATGGTGCTAATCTTTATCTCTGGGACAGCCAAATATATGGAGAGAATATGGATACTTGGGAGAGCCGGCTCATGGGGACCTATAAGCAGGCCTTGGGGTCCGTTGCTTGGGCAGAAAAGAACCCAGGCATTGTTCTCTTCTGACAAAAGATCCGAGTTTCACATAGAGGATGTGGCTCATGACATATTTTATAGAAGCATGGGCTTTTTCATGAACAGGACTCCTAAACTGTATGTCTATGATGATTGGAGGCGGCGGGAACGAGGTACTGTGACTTCCTCAGAGGAGAGAGTTAACTTTGCATATAAGTTAGCTGAGATCCAACTCTCATTGATCTATGACTACTTGTACACCAAGTTTGGAAGCCTCGATGGTGTGTTGCACCGGCTCACCATCCTTGTCCTAAACTCTACAGCTCTGGCCCTGCTTGTTGTTCATCATAAGGGAGGGAAGAGGCGATCAGAAGCTGTCAAGTCCAACTATGGTGTAGCTGATGTTGCCATCTCTTACATATTGCTTGTGGGTGCCGTGGCGTTGGAGATATCCTCTATACTGATCTGGCTCATAACATCATATTGGCCATACAAGGTATGGCCAAGAGGAGACCATAGTCCAAGAATTGTGGTTAGCATCCTCAAGCGCCTCCGCCTAGCACAGGGAAGCAACAGATTGGAATGGTCAGGTAAGCTGCAGCAGTACAACTTGACTGATGAAATCATCCAAGAGGAGAAGGCGAGAAAGGAATATGGATGGTTGAAATGGATAATGTGGCATATGGGCATCAAGCAACAAGACGACGCAACAACCAAACATGTTGCCATCTCCCCAGAGGTAAAGAAGGTGTTCCTTGATAAACTACGTGAGAATTACTGGAGGTTGGACTTGGCCAGCTTCCGTGCCGAGTGGGCAACTTCTTCCTCCTCTAAGTTTGGTGCAGCTCAACAGGAAGTCAGAGGCATCTTGGAAGGCATGGATCTTGTATCAAGTGCCTTTCTTTGGCACTTTGTGACGGACATATGCCTACTGCGGGACGAGACGCCCTCTAAGCTTAGAACCTGCAGCCAGCACCTGTCCAATTACATCATGCACCTGGTCTACAAGTGCGACTTGATGGTTGATGCTGAGGGGTGTTCATTATTTGAAGACTATATACGGTTGATGGGAAAACTTTGCAAAGATGCCAACTATGATAAGAGGGACCTCCTCCAGAGATTCCGCACTGACAGATTCTCTCAAGATCCAGTCCATCGAGCAGCTGGGAAAGCTACTAAGGTGGCCTTTCTACTCAACAGTGAAGCAGCAACTGCTGATCAGTGGGAGATGATCACAATGGTATGGTTGGAAATGCTCTGCTACATCGCAATGAACTGTGATCATGGGTTCCACGCCAAGCAGCTGAGCGTTGGAGGGGAGTTCCTCACTCATGCCAAGATGATCATGTTTCAACTGGTTGTTCCCGATGTGGAGCTAATGAGTGATGTAACATAAAAACACAACTATTGGGTTCATCTGCGAAGTTACTTTCTTATGGTTGTGATTTTCTAACCATCAGCAAGAAATTGTACAGCTATAATTAATGGCCAAACCTTTCTAAGTGACATATGTGAGTATACTGGAGGTTGCTGCAGAAAGAATTTGAAGGTCTGGGCCTTGAAATTACAAGCTAGCTTCTCATCTTGGTCCTCTTTAGAACCAAGAGAAAGAAATATATCTCCTTGCCGGCCTGGGCCTTGGTGTTTCAGTGGCTCGTTTCCTTATTCTGTTTCATTTTTCTCTTTTCTGTACAAATGTACAAACTATTGTTTGGAAATTTAAAATCTGCAAAGTATGAAGTTCCTACTATTTTGTGTCAAAAAGATAAAGGAAATTGACTGCTCTGGCCATCTTTTTTTTACTGATATGACTTAGCATGGGCATCAAGAGTTCGGGCCGACTCAATAAGAGGCAAAGAGGTTCATCGAAATTCTCATTAGAACTTGTGGGTTCAAGTTTGTGCTTTCTTATTTGTTTATCATCTCCCTATTTTGGTTTCTCTTTTTCTTTTTATATTTAGTTCGATGATGTGGTAATGTTCTTTTTTCTCATTTTGGGTTTGATTTTATTTACTTACCCCCTCCGATCCATATTAATATTGCACTAAATCAGTGACAATTAACATGGATCGGAGGGAGTGTTTCTTTTTTCTTTTCTATTTTATTTTTTTGCTGCTTTTTTCTTTTCCTTCCTTTTCACCTATGTGCTTTTTCGGTGTTTTAGTATTTTTTTTCATTTTTTGTCTGATTGTTTCATGCCTTACATTTCTTTATGTGTTCCGTGGGTGTTTGATTTGTTTTCCATTGTGTTTTATTTGTTTACCAACATCGGTGAAAAATTCGGAAATGCTCTAGGTTGTGTTTTGGATAACATTTCTTGAGCTAGTAGCATGCTTTCTGATGCCAGAGGAAGTATTACAACTGGAATTATTTTCTTGAACTAATTCTTGCGGCAAACCTCATTGGATTGCATTCAAACAAGCTTTCACTTGCATAATTTTACGATACATAACTTTTACTGGCATTATTGGTGATCAAAATTCAAAATGCATGCGGTCCTTGTGAACTAGAACAATGGGGTAATAACTAGGAGCTGGAGTTCGGGTGGTGTTTATGGTTTGAGATGTCACCTTGAGATATAAGTCCATGTTGATATGAAAATCAAGCTATGTTTGTTGAAGATCATTGATCTATGCTCGACTGCTCTGGCCATTTGTTTTCACTAGTATAGTGCTTACTATGGGCATTACGATTCGACGCTCGGCCACAGAAAATCGCTGTCAGGTGGGGAAGAGGTTCATCACAATTCTGATGAAATTAAAGTCATGGGTTCAAGTTATATGTGCCCACCTTGTTTATTTTTCTTATTTGTTTTTCATCTCCCTATTTGGTTATTTGGTTCCTTTTACCTTTTTTTCATTTATACTTATACTCGATGATGTGGTGGTATTCTTTTTTGCCATTTTTTGTTTGATTTATATTTACTTATTTTTTTTTGTCTCTATTTTTTCCCTATATGTACTTCGCGATGTGTTGGTGTTTTCCATTTTCGATCTGATTATCTCTTAACTCGCATTTCTTTATGTTCCATGGGCCTTTTATTTGTTATGTCAGCTTGTTTTATCTGTTACCAACATTCATGAACAGTTTCTACAACGTTTTTGGCTGTGTTTTGAATACCTGGAACGTTTTTGTTTTAGGCTGGTGGCGGGTGCCATGTTTTCTAAAGCTAGACCACCACTTTTAATTCAATGGTTGGAGCATTTTTCTTGGACCACATGCATATTTTGTAGCATAAGGTGGACATTTTCGTTGAAACTGATGAACATTTTATGTTACATTTGAAGACATTTTCAACTGTATAACTTCATAACTCTTATTGCTCTTATTGATGACCAAAGTTCAAGATGTGTGCAGGCTTGGTGAACCTGGAAGGATGGGGTAATACTTAGGAGCTTCAATTCCAGTGGCGTTGTCTCTGGATATAAACCAATGTTAATGATATTATCGAGTTATGTTTGTTGAAGATCTTCGATCTAAGTTGGACTGGTATGGCCATCTTTTTCACTAGCAGTGCTTATTGTGGGTATTAAGTCTTGACACCTACAGTTGATGATCTTATCAGGCCATCTCAATAACAGACGGAGGGGTCGATCACAATTGTAATAACGAAAAGCCGCGTGTCCAAGTTGTGTGTACATCTTATTCACAACTTCGTTCATACAAGAAAATTCCTAAGATTACAATTGAGTTGCACACGCACACTTGTGCAAGGAAATATCACAAGTTCACAACTGAACATTCTATAAAGAAGATGAAATAAATAATTCTGAAATCAAAGATCACGCAACTTTCGTGCAATGATTGGATATAAGATCATGCAACTTTCATGCAATTAGGGGATGGAAAGGCAGTCACAACAAGATGATGGCTGTAGCCCCAAGCACTTTTCTTATTGTCATATGTAAATGTAACTAATTAATTTGTTGAGAAATATTCAAACCAGAGCTGGACAACAGGCAAAGGAGAGGTTTGCATGTGCTCTTGGCGTGGCATTAGCACCGCTCGCTCTCTAACTCTTACTTCTCAGCTCCTCCTTCCCCTCTCAGCCCATCGATTACTACCCACCTATAGCCATAGATCCATCCCATGCGTGCTAGAGATGTTTCAGTCTCCTCCAGTTTGCTCATCCTCTTTGTGCTCTCCATCGTCGTCACGCAGGCGCCACTCTTCCGGGTTCGACGTCTGATTAGCGATGATGGCGGTGGCCGCTCTACGGCTCGCACCAAGGAAGCCGCCACCTGTGGCTGCGATTACTCTGACGGGAAATGGGTGAGGAGCCGCGCCACGGATGCTATGACATACGGGGAGGACTGCCCGTTCCTCGACCCCGGCTTCCGCTGCGTGCAAAATGGGCGGAATGACTCTTCCTTCCGCCACTGGCGTTGGCAACCTCGCTGCGGCAGCTGCCGCCTCCCTAAGTATGCCGGTAACCACTGTTGTTGACATCTCTAATTACAGAACAAAAGATCTTGTCTTGTCTCTGCCACCATGAATTCTAAGGAAATGTGATCATGTTCTCTAGGTTCAATGCGACGGATATGCTGGAGAGGAGCCGGAACGGCCGGATCGTGTTTGTCGGTGACTCCATTGGTCGCAACCAGTGGGAGTCCATGTTGTGCATGCTCGCTGCTGCCATGCCGGCTGGTTCAAGGATATACGAGCAGTTCGGGAAGCCTCTGAGCCGGCACAAAGGCTATCTCTCCATGGTCTTTGCGGACTACAACCTCTCCGTGGAGTACTACCGCGCACCAATGCTCGTCATGGTCGATCGCCTCCCTCCGGCGAGAGATGGCGCCATCAGGAGGGCCATCCGGCTTGATGCACTACCGCGGCATGCTGCCCGCTGGGCTGGTGCTGACGTGCTCATCCTCAACACGGGCCACTGGTGGAACCTACACAAGACCATCAAATCGTATGTAATTAGCTAGCTATTGCAGTACATATTTACATTGTTATGACAATGATTAATTATTTGAGTAGAGTTGCAATCCATGCTCGCAGTGGAAACTATTTCACGGTGGGCGATCGGTTCAACATGACAACGGACATTAAGGAAGCATTCCGACGGTCTCTCCAGACGGTGAAAGATTGGGCACTAACCAATCCACGACTCTCCAAGAGCAGCTACATCTTCTTTAGGAGCTATTCTCCATCGCACTACGGCAACGGGACATTGGACACAGGTGGCTCCTGCGCGGACCAATGGGATCCGCTAACAATGATTACCATTGAGAGTGACCAGCAGGAGCACTTGTGGATCAACACAATGATTTCAAATGTGGCACGGAGCATGAGGAGACGACATGGGATGAACAATGATGCAGTTTTCTTGAACATAACGTACATGACGGGCTTGAGGAGGGACGGACATCCGTCGCGGCACCGGGAGCCCGAGACGCCATCGGATGCGCCAGAGGATTGCAGCCACTGGTGCCTACCGGGTGTGCCGGACACGTGGAACCAGATGATGTACGGACACCTCGTGTCCATGGGATATGACACGAGGTCAACTAAAACATAGGTAGATGCATGATATATATGTGGTTGTGTTCATGTATGTTGTTTGGAAGGCAAGATTGGACCAGTCCTAGTCATAGTTTTATTTTAGAGTAGTCCTAGTCATAGTTAACTAAACTTTATTGTGTAGTACATTATACAGTTATATTTATTTTGAACTTTTATAACACACACCAGGCCCATCAAGACTAAGTGAATTTGATTGGATTATGAGTACTGAATTTAGTGACCATATTTATGTTGAATAGTGTGTAAAGAGAATATCCAACATAAGAGACGGTAGTTCCTACTTCCTACCAGAATTCAACAAGTGTGCGAGCTTAGATGTACACATCGTCCTCTGTTGCTCAAACAAGTTTGACCATGATAACCTTTTATACAAACAAGATGGCCCCAAATGGTATTTGCCGCGTATAGAGGTATACATATATAGCACGTGAATCGCCCACAAAGTGACCTACATGGACCGAGGCACATTTTTTGTGCTGCCTGTACAGGGTTTTCGGGTTTACCATGTTAGTATTTTCAGTGTTTTCTTGTTACATTTTTCGGGTTTCCCTTTCCATTTTCTTTTTCTCTTTTCCCTCTTTTCTTCCCTTCTCTATTTTTTTTCTATATAGTTTTTTTGTAAAAGAAATATACACATTTATTGAGAAATGCATGAATCGTTTTATAAGTACATGAACATGTTTTGAAATTACATGAACATATTTTTATCATGAACACTTGTTAAAATTATAAGAATATCGTTTTCAAACAGGTTAACACATTTTTTTATTGACATGATGTGTGAACACAAGTAGGTGTTTTTTTCTTCTAAAAAGGCAGGAACAAATTTGAAAATTATATTAATACTTTTTGTTTTTTAATATACATGAACATTGTTTCAATTGCATTAAGTTTTATCTAAAAGATGATTTTAAAAAAAGAAATATTATTTATGTTTAAACATTTTTAAACAAATGAATATTTTTACTCCTCTTTATTACACATTGGATTATAATTTATACTTTTAACACAATTCCAAGAAAGCAAAAAGAAAAACGTACCTATGTGAATGAGCTGCAGCGATCGCGGCCCATTTAAGTCATGTGTGGTCGGCTACGGCGGGGACAGGGCGACATCAACATCAGGCGTGGGTAGAGGGAGATGACGATTCGGTCGGTGTCGGTCGATGGATCATCGAGGTGGATGCGGTAGTAATGAGGGAAGACGGGGATGCCAGGGTAGGGCGAAGATGTGTGTTTCCTTGACTATTTATTTGACACAGGAGCTAACGAAAAGCATTTTTAAGAGAAGTGGGCTAGTTGGAGCTTAGAAGGGAAAGCTTTGGTTGTGGCCCGGGAAACGTGATAAGCTCTGCGAAATCACTAATTAAGGAGTACTCCTTGCGGAGATCACTCCAACTTCCCCATGTTGCGACAAGTGGCGCAATGCATATGCGTCACTTGTCGCAACTTGAGAGTTTTCCCTTTTTTCGTAGATCCGTTTATTCAAAACGTTTTATCTCTTAAACCGTGCATCCAAATCTCAAACCGCTTTCGCCGTTGGATTCCTCGCGTCGAGATCTTCAAAACTAGATCCATGTTGATAGGTTTTGATGAACTTTTTTTTCATGAAAAAAACCGGACAAAAAAACCGAACTGGGAGCACGGGTTTTTTCCCTTTCCGAAAGAGGCACGCCCGTGCCTCTGACGAAATCACAACCGTGCCTCTCACGGAAGCAAAACCGTGCCTCTCACGAAAGAAAAAAAATTTAGAAAATGCGTTTTTTTTCCGTTTCCGAGGAGTCCCGGCCGTGACTCTCGCGAAAGCACAACCGTGCCTCTTGCGGAAGCAAAACCGTGCCTCTCGTGAAAGGAAAAAACAGAAAACGCGTTTTTTTTTCGTTTCCAAAAGGCACGGCCGTGCCTCTCACGAAAACAAAACCGTGACTCTCGCGGAAAAAAATGCATTTTTTTGCGCAAAAATATTTTTTTTCGAATTTTTTTTTGGTCGAAAAGCTAGGGAAGACCGGTGGTAAACCAAAACGTAAAAACAAAAACAAAAAAAACCATTTAAAAAGCCAAAAATGCGTGCAAAAAAATAAAAAAACAAAATCCGGAGGGAGCGCCCAGAACGCGACACGTGGCGAATGGCTGAGAGCGCGCCAAGTGGCGCTGATCGTTGCGAGGCTCCCAAAGGAGCGCTCGTTAATTAGTTTTTTTAAGGCAATCTCGCGAAGCTTTTATTCAACCCGTCACAATATTTACGGGGATGAAGGAAATACCTTCCTGATGGCCTAGCCATACATGACGCCCATGCCCTAATCTTAATGCATGCTTCGCTAGATTGTGAGCCTCCTTGTTGGAGCTCCTAAATTCATGAATTACGTTACATGAAATAAAAGAAGTGATAGATAACTTAATTTCTTCTATGATAGCACCATAAGCCGACCCACTCCCAGATTTGATCTCTGCCACCACGCCCTGGCAATCCGACGCTAGATGTATTCGGTGCACATTCAAGTCTTGGGCTAACGCCAGACCTTCCCTGATCGCCATTGCTTCCAGAGTAGCCGGATCACCTTGGTTTGTAAATACTATCGTTGATGCTCCTGAAAAAGAGCCATCGTTGCTTCTACAAATTGCCGCAACTGCTCCGTGGCGTCCTCCTCTGCCCACTGCAGCATCCACATTAATTTTCATATAGAGCTCGAATGGAGCAAGCCATCCCGTGCCTCTGGTGGCCGCGATCCCACGATTCTCCTTCTTCGGCGACGAGTCCTGGATCTCCCCCAGGTATGTGTTGACAAAACCATGGATTGCATACGGGCTTTTGAATATATCTTCATATAACGCCTTCTGCCTCGCACCCCATATCGCCCATAGCGCTGTCGCACATCTGACGAACTCCTCTGACGAAAGAGCTTTTTCCATGGCAAAGATCCACTCCTTGGCACTATCATGTTGATTGACACTTAGCTGATCCAAAATGGCGTCAGTTGATAGAGCCCAAGTGCTCCGAGACATAGGGCAGTCCAGTAACGCGTGCCTCCATGAATCATGTACTCCACATGATTTGCAAGATGATGATGTAGCCATATTTTGCCTATGTAATACAGCAGCCGACGGGACAGAATTTCTTGCCAAACGCCACAGAAAAACCCTGATTTTCGAGGGAACTTGCACCCTCCACAAAGACTTCCATTCAGCTCCTTCTGCTTCTATATTTGATGTGCCCTCCCTGCCTTCAAGCCAAGCCTCTTTGTTAGAAGTAGGCTTCACGCAGGGCCCATGATAGGCTGCGCACACGGATCCGTCCTAGCCCCAGCCGTCCGTGGAGACTTTGGCCATGCACACAACTTTACAAGGTGAGATCTTTGGATTGAAGTTGTAGTCCAGCAATATATTGTGAGGCTTAATGTCGAAGTGGAGGACGCGCTTGTACGGTAACGCAGCAGAAAACAAAAAATTTCCAACCTACGCACCAGCCCAGGACCACTATGGAGACTGCATACATGGTTTGATCTTTTTTTCGTTACCGACTCGTAGCGCAGCGGGAAGTAGAGTCGATGACGATCGGCGGTGCAGATCCATGCAGCTAGGATTTACAACCTCCCAACCGCGAGGATGTATACCCTCATCTGCCCCTCAGACAGCCCTCCGGGAGGTGGTTGGACAGTCCCCTGGACGGTGTCGCAGACAGCCCTTTGGGAGAACCTTCGACACTCGGACGATCACTTGGACAGCCCTTCGGGAGGACCTTCGAAACTCGGACAGTCACCCGAACAGCCCTTCGGGAGGCACTCTCGAACTAAGACCGAAACTACGATCTCTCTACAGAGTTGCACACATACGGTGTCATCTATCCGGCAGGGCTTCGCCGTACAGAACTAGTTCTTGCCGGAACACAGACAACCTTTCGGCTCTACAAAACTATTTCGCTGGGAGGGAGAGAGAGAGCCAGATCATGCATGGCATTTGTATGAGAGTAAGGAGTGAGTGTGGAGAGTGCCTCCCCAGCTCTATTTATAGGAAAAACCAAGGGGTAGGGGCACATGAAAAAACCCAAAATGCCCACACTTTATGTCACACATAAAGGGCATAAAGGGATGACAAGTGGAGCCCCATCGAGGAGCTGCACCCTCCAATGTCCCACCTTCATGGGGGCCCCCCAAAGGGGGTTCCTTGATCCCCAAGTCCATCTAGAAGCCTTTTGGGAAAAGCCCCAAAAGGTGGCTTTCCATAAATATCCCAAAAAGCACTTTTACTATTCACGATGACATTTTTCAGTGTCCGTTCGAACTGAAAATATTTATGTGGGTTAGAACATTTCCAGTACCCACTAAAATGATTTTCAACGCGTTCCGAAACAATTCCGGTTTAGTGATTTTCATCTGCGAAAAGCATCTGAAGTGGTTCCGGCAGCTCTGGAGCATATCCGGTTATTATCCTAGAAAATTCCAGAAAGCCTCAAGAATGATTCTGGCACGCTCCAAGAATTATCAGGCATGTGCCGAAACCAATTTGACTTAATGGTATCCCCTGAAACAACTTTTCAGTTTCATCGAAACTCATCCGATGACCTCTCTCTGCGGAACCTTTTCCGCTGTCCGAAACTTTTCGGATGTCCGAAACTTTTTCGGTGATTTTCTCTCAGAATCCTTGTCTAGTATTCAAGAGATAAATGACCCTTAAGCGTGTGACCCTATAGGTTCGCTTAAGTATAGACATGACCGAAACCCTTTCCGATCAATGATCAAGATCGGAGCCGTGGACACCCATATTGACCCCTATACCCACACAAATGAATATTCGAGTGAACCTCCAGTTGCCGTGTGCTATTCCCGTTGCTTCGCGATATGTTACAAATACCTAAGGTGAGACATGTTGGCATTCCCGTGGATCAACAACTTGTCCACTATGCCAGTTACCTCGTTACCGGTATTGTTCTGTTTTCTCGTTAGCGTGTTCCGGCATCCCCGTGATCAAATCACAAAGTGTCTGGCCAGACGATGATGGA